ATGCATTTCCCGCATAAACAAAGAACAGCGAACACCCACACGCATTTATATTGCATTCCCGCATAAACCAAGTGCAGCGAACACACACACGCACTTGTGTTTAAAAGTATTTCGCTCGTTCTTAATTGGGTATGCATTTTTTATGCAATTCTCAAATATCTCTTGCTGAACTTAGTGAAGTGATAAGTCGCTGGCATTTTCATCATGGTCAACGCTCAACCAGCTTGGTCATCACGATGGTCAACGCTAAACCAGCTTGGCTCATCACGATGGTCAACGCTAAACCAGCTTGGCTCATCACGATGGTCAACGCTTAACTAGCTTGGCTATCACGCGGTGCTTTGAGCATCGCTCCCACTCCACTCCCGGAGTACTTTTTGGTATGGTAGTAAGCTCCGGCTTACAAGCCACACTGGGGCTCTGCATGAATGCATCCTCAAATAAATCCCTGCTCATTGCACAGCAGCCTACGGCAGCTAGAGCATGACTCCTCCAAGGGAGTCGCCCCAGCTCATTTCCACGGCAGCCTACGGCAGCTAGAGCATGACTCCTCCAGTGGAGTCGCCCCAGCTCATTTCCACAGCAGCCTACGGCAGCTAGAGCATGACTCCTCCAGTGGAGTCGCCCCAGCTCATTTCCACAGCAGCCTACGGCAGCTAGAGCATGACTCCTCCAATGGAGTCCCCCCAAATAAATCCCAGCTCATTGCACAGCAGCCTACGGCAGCTAGAGCACGACTCCTCCAATGGAGTCCCCCAATTAATATATATGGTCACCTTTAAACCTGGTCTCCCGCTCTCCCTCAGCTAAACACATTGATTTTTAGTGCAATAATGTGCAAGCTTCAAGTGGTTAAAAATTAACGTTGATTTTTTAGATTTTTTTTGTCGCATTTGCTTCCATAAAACGACTTAAATTCAATGGGTTTCAAAAGCTTTGTTCTCAAAAAAAGTCTAACACTTCTGAGAAAAAGGGTTGAAAATGCACAAATGCACCAATCAAAATAAAAAAAACACTCTTCTAACTCTTCGAGAGTTCCGTTATCACATTAAGTTCGAAGTTTAATTTTTTACTTTTATTGTTTGTTTCGCAAATTGCGTGACGTCTCTGTTAAACACTAATTTTATTTACAAAAACGCTCGATTTTCTATTTTCGTTTTTCTTTTTAAGGCATAAAATTCCTAGAGCATCTAAATGTATTTTGCATCAAAAAGCTAATTTTTTGGAACCAAATTTCGCTTAGTATTAAAAAGAAATACAAATCAACTTGATCACTTGGTCAGTCAATTTCGTGATAGGCACTTTATACTCAGGAATGTTTAGTCCAACTCGCTCCACATTGACTTTCCGGTGGAAAAATGGTCAGTGACAATTCGGATAAATCTGTAAGGGCGTCAAAATATATATCTGCATACATACATATATCCAGAGTTTCTTTTTGTAAGTCATTGTGTATAATTTTTCATCATTTAAATATTGCTGACTTACTGACTCAGTAGAAAAAAAGAAGGTGTAAAAAGCAATTACCGAAGGCCTTCTCTGGAATGCAAAGGGCCTTATCATGTGCCTGATTTCCTTAATTATTTCTTATATGAAACGGGCCCGATTGCAAAGCATTGCGTTTCCGATTTCGGGAGATCAGCTCATAAAAGAGCTTATTTTTTATGTGTTACACTTCACAGATGCTTTTTCGTAATGAAGAAAAACCAGTAACAAATATGAAAAATTATATGTTGGGTCTAACAAGATTCGAACACGGGCCTTCCTGAAAGCTAACACATTATAGCAAACATCTCTGCGCCCTCAGCTACAGCGACAACATGTAAATGTGTGTTTCAAATTATTATTAAAATCTAATTTTTTACAATCGCTCAAGCAAACTTATTTTCAAACTTGTGTAACTCATGCTAATTTATTTGCTTAACGCGGTGCCTACTCACTTGAGGAGAAGGAACACTGGAAGCACTCTGTGCGTAGTGATGCTGAGATGTGCTTTGCACTTGCTTCGGAGCTGTTCTGTAATACTTTATCAAGCGAAGGCCTTGACAAAATTTATACAAATTTTAAACTTTTTCATCAGAATTTCTAGAATATTTTTCGGCATGCAGTTTTGTAGCCCATTCGATTCTCGTAAAGTGCAAGTTTGAAGTATCTCGGACCTACTGTTTCTTTTCTTCCATAAAAAGTATATTCAAAAATTTTTTTGTATGAAGAAAATTAGTATAATCTTCCACAAAAAAATATGCCAGAATTCAACGGCAAGTCCTAGCCACTTAGATCTGCACCTCGTTATAATAAAATTGAATGGGCTACTAAACTGCATACTCAGAATGTTTCTAAGAAAGCTAATTAAATAGCTCAAAACTTTGATGGAACTTTGTAAAATTTCTTGTACAAAATTGGAAATTTTGACTTACCCGGTTTTTGCTAGATAAGGGGCTTCACTTTCATAAAGAAATAATAAATATTCATTAACGAAAGGGAAATCGCCAGAGAATGCTAGAATGTACACATCTTCCCTATTTATATTTTCACCACAGTGGGTATTCCTTTTTATTGGTATGTTTTTTTCTAATTATATATCGATATTGTGGGTAAAACATCGATCGCTTTGATATACCGAACTGGGAAATATCGTTTAAAAAATCGATTATCGGACCATGAAATACGATATTCGGAATAATCGATATTACATCGAAAATTCCTACCTTCGAGTCTAAGTTATTTCTTCACGGCCATTTGAAAAATAAATAAAATTTGTTCAGCTCCTTAAAATTTTCAGTAGCACCTACTTTCGGCAATAAAAGCGCATTTAAAATATTTGTTCTAGAGTAATAACCGAAATACCTTCTTAGAAAAGTTCAATAATTTTTGATGAGGTTTTATTTAATAACATTAAGCTGGTACGCTAGGGTAATGAAAACTGAGATCTGATGGAGAGGTAAGTTATTACTAAAACTAGACAAAAGCATCAATGTGTCAAACTTTAAGATCCGGCTTGAAATATCGCAGATGTGACGCCGTTCGGTTAAAAAAAAATAAAATTTACCCTGGAACTTACTTTAGACTCGAAGGTGTATGTCTAATTTTTTACTGGTGCGGTCTAATGTATATATGAGCATTAGGGTGGTCCTTAAAAAAAATAAAAATTAACGACTTTTTTCAGTCTCCTCCCCTCAATCGGTAATACCACGGTCACAGATATCACATATAAAGTTTGGTCCCGATTGGAAACGATTAAGTCGCTACGCACAGCGGGCAAAATACAGCTCCTTCTATAGAGATTCAAAAATTTAAAATTAATTTTATTTTCATCTTCAATTTACACAAAAAAACGATACTACCATAGTCGCGGATGTCACATATAAATATTGGTGCCGATTGGAGTCGGTTAAGACGTCTTCACTGGGTTATCTGAACTTTGACCGCTGTGCGACACGCCTTAACCGTCTCCAATCGGAAACAAAATTTCTATATGATATCTTCGACTATAGTAGCATCGACATAGGGGTTGAGGCTTAGGGAATCTGATGTAAAAATTTCTTTCCTACATTTAAGGACCACCCTAATATACATAGATACATATACTATGTATGGATGTGTGCTAAGCGATGGCGAGGGTAGCAAGGGACGGTTAGACAAAGAGCAAGAATGTATGTATATAAGTATCGATATGTATGGGTTTTATAGCCGGCTGGCTGGCCGGCCGGCCGGCAATCTATTTATTGTATTTAAATACGACTATGTGCACAAGCACAAACATGTTTATTTATGTAGTATATAAAAATATAAATATGTAAGTACGTAGTTATGTTCAGCATGTTGCTGCCATGTCTGGCTGATTGCCTGCCTGCCTGCCTGCATCTCTCCACTTTTTTGCTTATTTTTCTGGCGCGCCTGCTGCTTGCTGCCATGATTTGCTGTTGTTTGGCTGCTTTGGGTTCGTTGGCTGTACCTATTTTTCGCTATGGCCAGGACCTGCCTCAATAAATTCGCTTTTCTGCAAACATAAGCATACAAACACAAGTACATATGTATGTATGTACATATGTAGATGCCGCATACTAACCGGCGTATAGTACTTTACACAAATACTACACATTTTGTTTCGTTGCTTATTTCCTTCCTTTGTGGCGCTGTTTCGCTCACTGCTGCTGACACTGCCATAGCCACTGCCAACGTCACTGCTGCCGTTCGCTGCAGCTTTTATTCGTCTGTCCGCTATGCGCTTTCATACACTCAGTTACTTACTTCCTTTTTCCCTGTTGTTCTCACATTTGTGATGTCGTTTGCGACGCATCGCTATTGTTGTTGTTGCACATGTTGTTGGATGTTCTCGTTGCTGCCGGCAACATTGTTGCTATATTTGGAGTGCACATTTTCTGCCATTGTTCATTTTGTTTGTTATTGTTGCTTACATACATATGTTCATATGTATATGTATGTACATGCAAGTGAATTTGTACTTTGTCATATTTGATTGATATTTTTTATGCTGATTTTAGCTAAATACATTTTAGCTGTCGCGTTCGTTCTCGGCATTGGCAAAGCCTCGACCGCTGCTGTTTTGCTCTTCTTAAGCCTTTGCAGCGGTACTCAGTTGCACAAGAAATTGCAATCCCTCTGGGGTGCACTCAATTGGATTTTTCTCTTTTTGAAAAAATGCTTCTCTTCGTGATGCCGCTCTTCTTTGATTCGGCAAAGATAAAAACCGGATATATGGCTTTAAACATATCGGCAATATTTCATTAGGCTTTTTTGTGTGGGCAAAAACTATCGCTTACGTACATACCTATGTATAGAGTTGCTAGTTTTAGTAAAAAGCCGGAATAATTTTTTCGATTATTCAGTAGAAGAAGCCACAAGCGAATGGAAAATCAAGCCGTAAGCCTCTGAAACTGCACTACGCTGATTTTCCTCTAGCAATGGTAATGGCAATTGTAATGATAGCTCTGGTAAAGGTGGTGGTATTGGTATTGGTATTGGTATTGGTATTGGTAATGGTAATGGTATTGGTAATGGTAATGNTGGTGGTGGTATTGGTATTGGTATTGGTAATGGTAATGGTATTGGTAATGGTAATGGTATTGGTAATGGTAATGGCAACGGTAAGCGCTGTGAAAATGGTGATGGCAATGATAATGGTAATGATAATGGTAATGGCAAAGCTAATGGAAGTAGTAAGGGTCATTGTAATGGTAATTATAATGGTAATGACTATATTAAAGGTAGTGGTAATGGTAATAGTAACGTTACTAGCAATGATTATGGTAATGACAATGGTAACGGGAATGGTAGTTGTAATGGTAACGATAATAGTAACGGTAATGGTAATAGCGCATACTGGACGAGAACGGGAGGTAGTACTAATACATTATTCTTCACAGTCTATTAGCCCTGAAGAGGAAGAGAAGGAGGCAAAATAAGGCTGTGCTATTCAGGCAGTAGAAATCTGCTTGTTTGGTTCTCGTCCCTCCTTCTCTTCCGTCGATAAATGGGCGAAAATTAGTGATATGTGGATGAAGCTCGCTTTCTGGCGGATTATGCTGAGACGTCCGTGCACGGTGCCGAAGTTCTTCTCTCACAGAAAATCCAACACCGAACTTTCGCTCCTCTCGTAGCACCTGTTGTGGACGCCCCAAGACGGGCTGTGACAACTTTTCCATCGAGGGTTCGGCTATTCTAGGTGCATACCCTTAAATCATAGTTTTCGCCTTTCATGGTGAGTTTTTTAGTATACGCTTATATAGCGAACCGCTTCTTTCATGCTGTGACCCAAGGCTCCTTAAGGGCTGACACCGTATCCCTCTCACTTCTGTCATATGTAGCTGCTACGATGTGGAAGAAATCGAGAGAAATGCTTTTGTTGCCTATATTAGAACGACGGATTGGTTTAATTTCTAGGGAAGGCGAGAATATAACAAGCTTATTTTTGACAATATAGTACCTCTTTCATGGCGGCCTTAATACTTATGTAAGTGTGCCTCCTTCCAAAGTTGCGTGGGCGCCACCGCCATATCGTAAAAGCTTTACCCATGACGGCACTGAAATCTGACAAATCACTCACTCGCCGAACTCATTGATTACCAGTTTTTTTGAATGTATTTTTGGTCTATCATTGCTTTAAATTTTTTCATATCTATCGAAATTCATAAGTGAGTTGCTCTTGAAGTTCTCCATAATTCTGTGAGCATAAAATTTGTCAGTATCCTTTCTCTCAAGTGAGAACCGACAATATACAACACTCACAAAAATTTATTGAAATCAATTACAAACGATTTACATTTGGTGCATTAATCAAATAAAGTAATCGTAGTAATGAATATAAAACTAAAAAAAAAACGAATACGAAATCCATTACAGTGTCAAGACGTAAGTATATACGTACGTATTTGTGTACAATTCATTGTACATAAACATGTGTGGGCAAGCCTTACTACAGCTGTAAGGAATTAGGGTGCAAGTACGCCTACGAGCACATAAATACATATGTACATATGTACATAACCAGATGGAGAATGGGTTTGTAATACTTAATCATGTCTATTTACAAACGCAAATATGTACTAAAGGCACGTACATATGTATGTATATGTATATGCAACAGTTAACTGTAAGTATACTAAGTAGGTAGTTAGGTACTACCCCAATGAACAATGCACTCGTTTAGCACACCAGTGCGTATACGTAACATGCGTGCAATGAAAACTACTACATACATACATACATAGCTCTGTAGTTGTGACAGTATTTAGTTACAACAGTTTGCCTTTTATCTTCTTCTCCATACTAACACCTATTATTTTTAATATAATGAAATGTCAATTGTCAAACTAGGGGTCAGCGCCAGTCTCAGTTATGAATGATGGCAGCGCCTATTAGTGATTGGCTTATTTTTAACCGACTTCNAGATTTGTTTTTTTAAGCGAAGAAAGGACGGAATTCGAGGATGCGGTCGAGTGCATATTAGTCCTTAACATCTAATTTTTTCGAACATGATTATTGTATAATTTCAAAGATATTCAATGATAAAATGTTAAAAGGACATTTTCAGTACCTAATGGTCCTTATACACCAAAAAATTTAGTCGGCGTTAATTATGCAGAATTTTCTCTTTAATTTGATAGTCATACTGTTTTTCTTCATTGCACATTTTTTAATAATTGTTTGAATTATTTATATTTTTAAAATTTCAAAGTTCTTCTTCGGCCCCTGTGAGTACGGTTTAGTAATTTTCCTTTTTTTAATACATTTTTTGATTTCATTGTTCCAAAAAGAATAATTTGTTTTTAACTTCATATATATTCTTCCTTTCTTTAATTCAATTATTTTTTAATTGAACTTTTTATATTTACATTTATTTTCTTTTTAATAAAAAGATTTTTTAATTTAATGTAATTATAAGAAATTATTTTGTTTTTAAAATTAATTTTTTTTCGCTTTTTAATTTTATTTTATCTCTTCGGCCCCTGGGAGTACGGTAGTAATTTTTTTTTAAATTTATTATTTGATTTCATTGTTTCAAAAAGAATATTTTTTTTTTTAATTTCGTATATTTGTTCCTTTCTTTAATAAAATTCCCTTTGAATTTATTTTTTTTAAATAAAAAGATTTGATTTAATTTAACGTAATATTTAGAAATTATTTTATTTTTTAAATTAAATTTTTTTTCGCTTTTTAATTTTATTTTAATTTTTAGGTTGTATTAAATAAAAAAAATAAGTTATTTTTTTAATTTGTTTAACTTTTAGGAACTTAGTTAATTTTTTTTTATGATATTTCTTTTTTCTAATTTAGTTTTTAGATTTTTATGTTTCAAACAGAATAATGTATATTTTTAATGTAATTTAATTTTTAGAAATATATATATATATATATATATATATATATATATTTAATTCAATTATTTCTTAATTTATTTGCTTTTAGTTTTTAGATTTTATTTTATTTTTTCCAAGAAACAATTTTTATACCCGAGCGCACTTGTGCACTTGCTTTTCTTTCAGGCGTAGGACGGATGGTATTGAAAATGGGCAAAATCGGACAATAACCACGCCTACCTCCCATATAACGGTAATTTTCAGAAATACGAAAACTGCGATATTTTAGTAACTACTGAAGATTATTCACTCAAAATTGATATTTGCAATAACTTTTAGACGAAAAATAAGAATATTAACATTTTTTTGAAAATGGGCGTAGCCACGCCCACTTATGGTTACATGTGTATATCTTGGNTGGGCGTAGCCATGCCCACTCATGGTTACATGTTTATATCTTGGTAACCTTTCTACAAATTTGTACCAAACTCGGTATGGTTATTGTGCTTGCCACATAATAGCAAAACGTTGAAAATTGTTGAAATCGGACTAAAATTGAAGCCGCTTTTCATATAACGGTAAATTTCAGAAATACTTGAAAATTCAATATTTCGAAATTTAAGGACGCTAATTTATTCAAAATCGATACACCCTTCGGAAAGATGAAAATCATATATTTAATATTTGCGCCGGATATTTAATGTTCGGCTCCGTCCGAACTTAGACTTTTTTACTTGTTTTTAATTTCATTTAATGTTAAGTTAATTTTTTTTTTAGTTAAATCTGTTGTTAATCGTTGTTAAATTTTTCTTTATTTTACTTTTTAGATTATATTAGATACTCTTTAAAGAAAAATATATTTTTTAATGCGCTTCTTAATTATTTTATTTTTTTTAATTATTGTTGCTTTTCCACAATAGATTTTCACTAATTTTTTTCGATTCATTTTTTTCTTTTTTAATTTAATATTCTTTGAATTTTATTAATTTAAAGAGAACCATATTTTTTATGTATTAACCACTTGATTTTTAGAGACTATTTGTACTAATTTTTTTCTAACTTGTTTTGCTTTTTTTAATTTAATATTCTTTTAATTTTTATTTTTTATATTTTATTTAGTTTTTTATATGTATTTTTTTTATTTAATACATTTTTTGAAACTTTTTGCTAAAATACAAACAGAAAACTACTAAAAGTTCCTCGTTAGCGGATCTTGCAATTAGTCTTTTGAAATACAAAAAATAACGTTATAAACAGTTGTCAAAAATTGACAATTAGATATCTTACGAAAAACTTAGGGCTTTCGAAAGACTGTGGTTAGTTGAACGCCAGATTGCCCTAAATATTTCCTTGTAAAAATTGGCTACTCAGTAGATAAATTTTCTCGCAGGGGTGTAATAGATAACTACGAGTATATGTAGGAAGTGTTGCTTGTTTGTATGCGTATATCCGCAACTACCAACTATTTCCATACGTATGTACCAACTATGTACGTACTGTTAACGAAAGCAGTAACAATACAGCAACGGAATCTCCATTGAGTGAGCCATTTAATGCATGCTTGTGTTCGCCAAGATTGTGGAGCGACTGAACACCGAACAGGTGAAGTACATATGTATTAAGAGAGAGAGAGAGAGAGAGAGAACGTTAACTGATACTTGGACACTCTCGAAGGGGTAACTATAACAGTGTGCTAACAAAAAAGCAGGAGAAACAAAAAATAATAATAAAAATAATAATATCATTGCAGAAAGTGTGTGCAATTTTTTACTCACAGTGTAGTAGCTGCTCCACAATATTCGCTCGCATACATACTCTCAAATGAGTTCGCATGCATATTTGAAATAGCGAAAAATACGTGTATCAGAGCATAAATACGAGTACTACCAACCAAAGTCTTTGTTGTTGTTGTTGTTGCTGCTGCAACTGCTCTACTGCTACTGCTTTTGCTGCTGGTGTTGCTTCATCTCAACTCAATGCCATTGCCATGGGGCAAGGCATCTCCATGAACTCCTTGTTGGGAGTCAGTGTTGCTCGCTCGCTCGCTGCACAGCCAGCACTGACCGAACACAGACCCACCTGAACATATGTAAAAACATAAGTATTACCTGCACAGAACTCCGCTGGTGCACTCATTCAGCTGTTATTGTGGTTATGTTGCTGTTGCTGTTTGGTTCTGCTGCTGCTCTTGCTTTGATTGTTTGTTGCGCTTTCATTCGTTCATCCATTTATTATTTATTCCTTCAATCGTTTGCTTGCTTATTTGCCACTTGGCTTGGTTTGTGTGCTGCCTCGTTCATTTCGATTTTGCTTTGCAGAGTTGATTAACCTTTGGTCGTTATGTTTTGCCTTGCCATTCGTCACTTCGTTCTCATCGTACATACATATTTTCATGCTGCTTCTTAGCTTCGTTTTAAACCTGTGATTTCGTGGGATAGGACGATTTCCTTTGGCTCGCTCCTTGGTGTCGGTGTCAGCGTCGGCAAGTTGTTTGGTCGGTTGATTCGTTGGCTGCGTATTTGGTGAATTGCTCTTTTGAGTGATGATTGTTTGATTATGTTTGACTGAATTGTTGCTTTTCATTGTTCATATGTATGCACGAGTATTTAGGCTGTATGATTCTTGGGTTTTGTTTTTGTTTTTGTTTTGGTTGCTTGTCTGTATCGCGAGTATCTCTGTTCTACAGGAATTAGCCGCTTTAGCAGCGAAAATGACTTCTAGTGGTCTGCGGCATTTATAGTTTTCAATAAACTGAACGGCGGTAGTGGAAGTGATATTCAGCAGAAATGGCTGGCAGACTAATGTTGCAACTGTTATCGTCATGCCAAAACGCTAACAGAACGCAGACCGCGTTCAGAAAGCCGTCGTCTTTAAATTGGTGTTGTAGGTACAACTGCGATGACTGCCGCCTTATCCACCAGCAAGGGTCACTCAATCGAGAGAAAAATGTCCATTCGAACATACGCATGTGGAGCAAAATCTTTGAGTGTTACAGAAGCCAAAATGCTGACCCGAGAAGCCCTTTCGCGCACTCGACTGGACCAAGCGAGTGATCGAGAATGCCAAGGCGACAAAAATTCCGACGGCGCGAGCCGATCGCGCGTGCCTCTGTCGGCTCATAAGCAACAAACGGAAAGCTTGGGTGGGAGATCTCACTCGAGTCAAGGCCGAGGACTGGAGCAGCGCCAAACATATTCAGCGAAATTGCCAAAAAAAGCCAACTCTATTACTTAGATGTAATGCACCAGTGTAGAGAGGACAGCGCCATCTCCAGATAGGACGGAGTGGAAACGCGTGGTGTCGGCCATAGCATATGTTTTCTTAAAGGAGAGTAAGGCGTACTCTGGTCTACCTCCAAGGTATGAAAGCGGATTGCCTGTGCTTATGAACGGTCAGCTCGGTTACACATGGCTAAGGTACCCTTGGGTGGGAGCCATGCCGTGGAGGCCATGAAGAAGAAGGATCCACCCTTCGCTCACGTGTACTTGTCTGGCTTCCTGCCGAGTTCTCCGTTCAGGGGTTTGGATAATTGATGAAATCCCCAAATTTTTAAATCCAAACCTTCCAGTGCACAACTTGAGTTTTATCAGGAATTGAATTTTATATGTGACGGTTCCCACGTCCAGCGCAAAATCCATTGATGGGATGATATTGACATCGTTGACTTGAGACCCAGAGACGTCAGCGCAGAATTTTTCAGCTTAGAAATAGAAGTACTTTGTCTAAACTGCAAACAATGAGCTCTTTCTTCACTCACATCTCCTGGCGGATTAAGTACACGAGAGACGTTCGATGAAATGTGGCATCCGTGAACCTCTACATGAATGGGTAGAGGCTTGGCGGCAGAGTCGGTAGAGTTTGTGGAACGCTCAAAACTAGTAATTTGATACTTGACCTGTCTTTCCGTTGCTTCTAATTATTTCCCAGTCAGACTTAGTACCCAGACTAAGTTATATATGTACATACATACATATTGCAAAAAACTGCGTTGATGATGAGTTGGCTAAGAAAGGTACCGTCGAGAGGCTCCCGCCGAGAAAAGATAGAGTGGAGGTTTATTTTAATACCCGTGACTATTTTTAGGCAGATGTGCGTGGTGTGAGCTCAAATAATGCTGTATGCAAACCAGGATGTTTTCAATTGCTTTGTCTTTCAAAACTGAAAGTCAGCGGGAGAGGATGAAGAGCTTTTCTGGGAATGGTGAGTGTATTGACCGAACACTGTTCCTGTTCGATGCGTATTTCGGCGGTGAGACCACCGGATACTCACTAGCTCAGCTGCTTAGAGGACGTTGACGGACAGTAATCTCAGCACTTTGCGGTAAACTGCCCAGCTTTTGCAAAACTGCGGTCTAAGTATCAACAGTTGCATATTTTAACTCGTCTGTTAGAGCTTCCTGCATCTGACATCTGCCGCCAGCGAATCTTCATTCTAGGCTCTCTCTCGGTACCTACAGTACATAGACAATGGGTGTGACCTTTGTTTGGGGCAACTCCCTCTACACAAACCAGATTAGCCTCACCTCAGGATCAACATGGAAAAGGTGGCGTTTTTGAGAGCAATGATGTCGATATTGTCAATGATGCTCTTGTAAAAGACTGTTCTTGAGCGATTTACTTACTTCCTTCTCTAGCATCCGCTCAAAAGGCAAAGATAGTACGAATGCGAAGCCAAATATGAAGACAAGTACGATGACTAATAACAATACGCAGATGACCGAAACGAATACGGAGACCTATCAGAAGGCAAAGGCCAAGACGAAGACGGATTCGTAGACGAATATACAAGAAGACGTAAACGAAGACGAATAAAAAATGAAGAGTAATATGACGGCGAATACAAAGAAGAATACGAAGAGCGCGAAGACGAAGACAAATATGAATACGATTATGAAGACGAATTCGAAGAATATTACAAAGATGAACAGGAAGACGAATGCGAAAACGAAAACGAGGAGGACTACGACGAATAAAAGTGAAGACAAATACGCAAACAGATACGAATACTCAGACCAAGACGAATACGAAGACAAATACGCAGACGTAGACGAACAAAAACGAAGGCGAGAACGAGGTCGTATACAAATACGAAGACGAATAAAAATGAAGGCGCAAACGAAGACGAATACCAAAGGTCGATAAGAAGAAAAACGAAGTCGAAGGCGAATTCGAACGCGAAGATGAATTTAAAGAAGTCGAATACGATACAAAAACAAATTCGAAGACCAGTAGGAAGATGAAAATTAAGACGCATACTGATGTTAAAATAAATTCAAATATAAATACGGATTCTAATACGAATATGAATAGGAACATAAAGACGAAAGCGAAGACAGGAAATTCTACTACTAGAGCACTATGTATGGCAGGAACCATAACCTTTTGTTATGCCATGTCTTATGAAGACACTAATTTTACCCTGTTAAAGGTAAAACCATTATTGATTGGTCGCTTATATTGTGCGTATCACATTTATATGCCAACCACATATTGACAAGTTTTGACTATGTATTTAATTTTTTTTAGAGAATATAGTTTATTTGTTTTTTGTTATTTTTTGGCCATTTAACAATTATATTCAACAATTTTATAATGAGCTCGAGGCCATTTTTTTAAATGAAAAATTTATTGTGGAAAACAACAACAATTTGAAAAAATGGTAGAAGTGATAGCTATTTCGGAAATCACCACATTTCCTCATCAGACTTCTTTCAGTAGGATTCGAACCGACGATCCCACTGACTCAGCCAGTTGCCTATGCACCGTGCTAAGACGCCTTGTAAATTATCGTTTGCTTATTTCCACTATTTTCATTTTTGTTATGCCAACACAATCAAGCGCAGCTATTCCGCTGCAATTCACTTGATCATGTGGTTGTTGGTTTTGTTGGTTTGTGCTAATAATTCTATTTTTAGAATGCTTAACTTTTAGGTGTGCTCGTCCTTAAGTTATTTGTTTTTTGTTATTTTTTGGCCATTTAACAATTATATTCAGTTTATTTAAAAAAAAACCTGCATTTCTCAGAAGGATTTTGAGCATGCTCTTTTGTAGCCCACTAAATTTTAGTGTAAAAAAGTGCAAGTTGGAAGTAGCTAGGACCTATCCTTGATGTGGGCAATTTCAAAATGAGCGACACCTTCAACAAATAAAAAATCCAAAAATCAACGGAAAATCCTAGCTACCTCTTGAATTGAATGGCCTAAAAAACTGCTTACTCAAAGTCTTTCTAAAAAATCAAATTTATACGAAAGTTTTTGATTTGTCTTAATATTGCACAAAGTTTTAAAGACACAACATTTTATAAAAAAAAAATAATAATTAAAATGGAATAATAAAAAAATTAATAGGCAAAACTTGTCCAAATGTTTGAGCTTATAAACATGATACGCACTAAAGTTACCCGGAAGAGAGTAATGCCAAAATATAACTCCAAGGAATCTTTAACCCTTTTACTCATTTTGCACACCTTTTGGCAAGGAGTGCACTTGAATACAAACATACATATGTACGTTTGCCTAATGGCGGTTTGATAATTGTAATTGAAATTCGGCGATGAGCCGAGTAAATTTCAAAGAGTAGCATTGGCGCAGTGACGTTACCTGCCCCACATTCACACCTACAGATACGGATGTGCATTAGGGCGATCCAAAAAGTAAAGTCGGATTTTTTATAATCTCACCCCCGAAGGATTGTTTATAGTGAAAAAATACATACACCTCTATTTTTTTAGTTTGAAATCAGAATATATTTACATAGAGGTCGCTCACAGCGTAGCACAAAAATCGCATAGAATTTTTGAAAATCAATATTTTTCGATCAGAAAACTCTAGTTTGCTTCAGAAGATTTGATTTCAAAGTAAAAAATAGGGGTTTATATTTTCGGTATAGAACAATCCTAGGGGGTGAGAGCACTAAAATTCCGACTTCACTTTTTCACACACACTTTTGGACTACCCTAATGCACATACATATCTACTTACATTCGTACATATGCATTTAAGTATATGTCTGTGCCCGTCAGTTAAAGTAGCTTAAATCGAGATAGGCCATTTCATTTTTTTCATTGGGTTCCCAAAAAATAGGAGCATTTTTTAGGCTTAAAGTACTAACCTTCTAAAAATATAAATTTTTTTTTTATTATTTTTAATTTAAAGTCAAACCTTCCAAATTCACTTAAGCTAATTTAATTAACGCGAACAGATAAATGTATACTTGTATGTAAGTAAATACATAAGTACCTTTTTTCGTGCGTAAGTGAGTCAAGTGTTTTTTCTTAGCATTTTTGCTATATTTGAAGTTGCTGATTTTACTGCTGCATTTCTATATACTTACTATATACATACGCATGTACATATGCATGTACCTACATAACTTTACTCACCTCCCCTCAACCTCTCTCCTTCCGAAAAACATACCCCCTAGCCCCAACCAAAAATCTACAGTTGTTTTAATGGCTTAAATGCTGTTGTTGTTTCTTCAGCTATTGCTGCAGCCTTTGTTATGGGCTGCTGGTGCGGTATTGTTGTGTGTTGGCTCAGTTTTAATACGTAGCATTTGGTTAGTTTTCTTGTGGTGTGGGGGGGGGGGCGACTTATGAGTACAAGTAGAATAGAGTGCCGAATTCGCATGCGACGGTCGTTCGGATGGCATTGGTGTGGGTCATGGTCTGCATGCGGAAAAATGTCAGCTGAATATTTGATGGTAGGTTGTAAAAAGAAAAGGCAGAAATATAAATTCAAACACACAAGACTATGTATGCATGGATATTCGCAAGTGCGCTAATTTTTGCCTATGCACGAATGGAGTTTGTGTGTATGCACGTATGTGTGTTCTTACCCCGCAAAAAATGCTACTATTCTGGGAGTACGCCGTGATCAGTCGGAAAGATGCATGCGACTAGTACCACTTTTGATCTCTTTATATGGAAAGAACTATTCCCTTTTGTTCGAGCATGTCCTATGAAGAGAATAATTGCACCTCTAAATTTTTTGCAGGCATATTTCTTTCCCAATTGACATTGGCGTAAGGGCTTCTCATAGAAGGCCTCTCAGCGCACAAAAGCACCATTAATTTGATATATAATTTTATATATTCAGCTAGGTTTAAGTACAACTCTTATTAATTTATTTTTTTCACCATATTTTAATATGTATTTAGTGAAAATTTGGAATAAAAAATCGCGAAATTTTTTATTTCAAATATTCGCCTGCGGTGCTTCTTTCTTTTGTTTTATATTAAACGATATTTTAATATGTGGATAGTGATATTAAATTTCTACCCTTTAAATCAAAACAATTCTTTGAGGGGGTTCTAGATAATTTCTTATGGAAGTATACATACATTAAAGCCCTTCTAAGAGAAAGCAAGATGTAAGGCCTTGCCAAGTGGGGCATCTCGTACAAATAATAGGGAGAAGCGTAAGGTCTTCGGTCTACCAATGGATGGGCTAGAAGTAAGTACTTCTACAAAGGGTTTCAGGTCCTGCCATTGCCAGCTGGGTTACTACATATATATACCCTGCAGGGAAACCGCGGACTAGTGAATAAAATTTCTAGTTCCGTACTAGGTCTTTATCGCCAAAAAGGAACTAGTCCGATAGGAACTAGATCCCCACCAGTCCAAAATCGGCGAAAAGTTGTACTTTTAAGAAACTAATTTTTCAGTTTTTTTCACTACAAATCTATATCTAAAGTGACGAATTTAGAATTGGTTCGGATCTATAGAAAAAGGGATGCAGAACGAACTAGATCCTATTTTTCGAATTTAGAACTATTTCGGAACTATCGAATAAGGGATGCAGCGGGGGGCTTATTTACTTTACATAGACATGTGTTCGGCGGCTTTTTCGTTCAAATACGCTTCTATTCTGTGCTTCGCAGATGCTTTTTCATAGCTTGGTAATACAAAACTAAAATTTATGTTAACATTTCAACATCTTGGGACCGTCTAAAATATAAGAAATAACAGCGAGCACCTCTGCAAAGTCAGCTACAGCAAGGTATGTAAACGTACATTTCTTAAAATCATTCAAACAAATTTAATTTCAAATTGAAAAAAACGCGTCTTTGAAAATAATGTAAAATCGCACACGACAGAACTGAAAGGTTGAAAAATCATGATACTTTTTTCTTTCGTCTGTCGATTTTAGAACTGGTTCGGATCTATAGAATTTAGGACTAGTTCGTAACTATCGAAAAAGGGATGCAGCGGGGGGCAATTGACACTTCCTAGGACATCGCCATGTTAAATTCGCCAGTTGCTTGCATGCAAAAGAGATTTATCGCGAACCTGTACTGGGTCTAAATGTACTAGAAGCGCCCCAGTTCAGAACTAGAGATTTTCCCCACAGGGTACATATGGCACAACTGACAATCAGCGCGTAGTTTTTGTAGTTTCTGTTAGTGTATTTTAGCGTATTTTATGCTGCCGTCCTGTTCTCTGCAGAAAGTAGTATTTCTTTGTTTTATGACTTTTCAAGTTGATAGCATTTTTATTGATTTTAAATTTGTTTGATCAAAAAAAAAAATAATATTATTTCAGAAGGTGCACTCCGACTTTACCAATGTAATTTTAGATAAGTACTTATGTATATAGATACATACATATATACATGAATGCATATGTTTATCGATTTATAGATATACATATATACACATTGCATTTGTACTTGCTCACCTTTTGTGCAGTGCAGTTATTTTGCGGCTTTCAATTTTTTCATTTATTTGCATTGTAGATACGTAAATACATATGTATGAAAGTAAGTACATATGTAGCTCGTTATCGGTTAGCCAGAATCTTGCGGCAATGCCAATTAAAATTGCTTCTACATATAAAAACTAACGAACAAGAAAAAAGATAACAAAAATATAAATAAAGCAGGAGCAAAACTTATGTATGTATATCCTTGATATATATGTATATGTACATATGATATATGCATATAAATATCTATGGAATGTCATATTTTTCACAT